AGATGAGGTAAGAGATGGATTTCTTGGTTGAGAATGAGTCTGTATAGGTACAAATATTTGTAGGGAGAGGTTAAGAGGTAATGATAAGTCGTACTCTTGGCATGTTAATTGTCATGTTTTCCACACTTTTTTGGTATTTATTTGAGCTTGATTATTGATTTTAATTGATTTGTATAATTTTTGTAGGATTTCTCGGAATTTAAAATTTGTGATGATTGGAGGGCGAATGAGACGAATTTGAGCTAAGGCGTGGGCACGCTAATTTCCTACAAGGGTCGGAAGAAGGAAGGAGTCACAAATGGAAAGAGAAATAAAGGACTTAATGGAGTTTTTATTTATTTGAGGACTATTTTAATTTATTAGGATATTTGGAGAGATAATATTTTTTCTACGTATTTCTTCTAGGATTAGGAATAGACTGATAATTAAGACTGCTATGTATTATTTTTCTCTCTCCTCTTTCTTCTCTTCTGATCAGTTCGACGTTTTATTTTTTGTCATCTGCGGATCTGCTTTTGAAGTGCGACAACACGCACGAACAGAATAAGATTTCTTCTGCTGTTTATTTTATTTCTACTGTCTTTATTATTTTTAGGATGAATTTTATGGAGAATACTACCATGTTTATGGATAGCTAATTATTTTTCCAGCCAAAGGATTATTCATGATTTGGTCCTACATGATGATCTAATTGAGTTTTCAATTTCCTATTCTTTTCTATTCGTATTTCTCTTGTGTTTATTATCAATTGTTATTTTGATTGACTGATGCAAAAAGAGCTCTTCATTCAATTATTTGAATAGCATATCGCCATTTAGGACATTAAATCCGTAATTGTTTGATTGTTCTAATATTAGTGGCAGAGAACATAGTTGATTACTAAGGGTTTTTGATTTTATATTTAGGGAGGTATATGATCTAGTCTGAATGATCATACATGTGTGTTTGTTGGCTAGAATTGGTGGTCCTTCTAGGTTTCAATGTTGTTGATAGATTAAATCTTATGATCGTATCTAGGACTCTCTGTTGATTGGAGAAATAATTAGTGATCGTATCCTGATTATCGAACAAGTAAGGAGGATAGGTTATTAGGTCGTACCAATAACCATAACCAGTTTAATTGAGAGTAGGAGAATTATCTTTGCATCTATGATCGAATCATTGAACCATTTCTACGAATCTTTCCTTTGGTTGGATATTTTATCTCTTTTATTCATTCTATTAATATCTCGAATCTCTCCTTTTTGTGTTTATTTTCATTGAACCGCATTTTTATTATTTTAGGCAGATTGAACATATCAAAACCCCCCATCTTTTTATTTATTTATTATTCCTTCGCGAAATAGTTGCATCAATTCATTTCATCCAATCTCTGTGGATACGACCCTACTCATTGCTATTACAATTTTATATTCTAGACGAGTAGGAATTTATTATTGTTGGTTTCGACACCCATCAATTTTTGTTGCCGTTGTCAGGGATTGGAAATTAAAATTTGATTTGTTTTGATGCCACGTTCTTTTCGTGCAGGAAATCTACTTGAGTGCGATCCAGAGATCGAGAAAACTGGAAAGCGATTATGGCACAGAGACAGCAAACGCTACGAGAATTGACCGCTTCGGATATAGAACAAACTCCATTGCGCATTCAGTACCCAACGATGGAGGCAGATTTTGAGCTCAAGTCCAGTCTCATCCACATACTTCCAAAGTTTCATGGACTTGAGAATGAGGATCCACATAAACATTCGAAAGAGTTCCATGTGGCGTGTTCAAGTATGAAACCGCAAGGTGTCACGAAGGACCAAATCAAACTTCGAGCCTTTCCTTTTTCATCGGTCGAGAGAGCTAAGGATTGGCTATTTTTCTTACCTCCTGGATCTGTTACCACGTGGAACGGAATGCTACGCTTGTTTCTCGACAAATATTTCTCTGTCTCAAGAGCAAAGAACCTTCAGAGGGAGATTTGTTCAATCAAACAAAAGGATTTCGAGACGGATGATGGATGTCGCTAGTGGAGGAGCCATTGCAAACAAAACGCCTGCTCAAGCCAGAGAATTGATCTCTACCATGGCGGCTAACTCTCAGCAGTTCGGTTCCAGACATGACACCTACCAGAAGAAGGTGAATGAGGTGAATGTGTCGTCTCTTGAAAGTCAAATAGCTAATTTGAATTCATTTGTTCAACAGTTAGCGACTGGTGGTGTGCAACAAGTTTGTGGGATTTGTGCTGATTCCGAACACCCCATTGATATGTGTCCGACACTTCAAGAAGATTCCCCATAGCAAGCTAATGTGATTGGAGAATTCTCGGGCCCATTACACGGGAAGTATGACCCCTTTTCCAACACTTATAATCCAGGATGGAGAGATCATCCTAATTTTAGCTGCACCGAGGCCTCAGTTCCAAAACTTCATGCCTAGACCGTCTCCACCTTCTTCTCAACCTCAACAGCATGCCACGAGTTCCATCTCATCTCTTAAAGATATGATGAAGTCACTTGTCTTGAACACTCAACAATTTCAACAAGCAACTCAACAATTTCAACAAGAGACGAGGAGTAGCATAAAAAATCTCGAGGAACGGTTCAACCAACTCACCTCTTCTGTGAGCCGCAACGAATCTCAAGGTAAACTGCCATCACAAATGGTGATCAACCCAAAGCAGAATGCGAGTGCAATAACCTTGAGAAGTGGAAAGAAGCTACAAGATGCTAAAAACCCGAGCAAAAAGGGAAATCTTGAAGAAGAAGTTGAAAAAGAAGTTGCACATGATGCTATCAAGGGTTAGGATGCGGACCAAGGTAAGCCACTGACACCCTTAGCTCCTATTCCCCCTTTTTTATTCAAGATTGTCTGAATCGAAGAAGGAAGAGGAGGAAAAAGAGTTATTTGATACTTTTCGTAAGGTCGAGGTAAATATTCCTTTACTTGATGCTATTAAACAAATTCCTCGATATGCTAAGTTTTTGAAAGAATTGTGCACGAATAAGAAGAAATTGAAAGGCAATGAATTTGTGAGTATGGGTGAGAATGTTTTTGTTGTTCTTCAGAAAACATTACCGCTGAAATGCAAGGATCCATGTATGTTTACTATTCCTTGTAAAATTAGGAGTGTGAGAATGGAAAGAGCAATGTTAGATATTGGAGCTTCGATTAATGTCATGCCTATGCCTATTTATGCTTCTTTGAATGTTGGGCCTTT